ATGGCTAGTTTAAAAACAACAATTTTATTTGTATTTAGAAAAAAAAGTCTCCAATCTCAAATTTCAGCACTATATAGAACAGTTTTTATTTGATGCATTTAATTCTTTTAATTCAAGGTGACTGATATAAACATAGCTTGCATAGTTTGTTTAATTTAAAACACATAAAAGCATAAATTTTATGTCACGTGTCAGAAGGACCAACAGTCTTATTAATTTGGAATCTATACCTCAGTCCTTCCACAATTCACAACAATTGGTATTTCTTTTATAGTACTGGTCAGGTTATAGTGAAACTACATTTTTCCTGGATATGACTGTTTGCAAGCCACTTTGACTTATGAATGGACTTTTAATTGTCAGACATAAAATGCTATTATATTCTTTCCATAGTTCACAAAATTACAATAATCTGGCTTAAAGTATTCACTTTTGAATATTCTGCTGTGTTTCTGCAAGACTTCTGCTAACTGTAGTCTGAATTAAAACTCTGAACCATGTTTGGGGTGTTGGTCTCTCTTTTTCTTTTATGCAATTTTGCGATAAGTAGTTTGGATTGCTGTGTGTAAAAAGACCGTGGTGCCATGTTTTGTTGAGTTCTAGGAATTTTACATATGAGTGATTGAGAGATATGTGTCTTTGTGATGCATCTGTACACTTTATGGACGAATCAGCATGGCACTCTTCAAAATGTGGAGTCCAAAAGCAATTATGTCAAATGACAACTTTAGGATGAACATAATGTAGTAGATAGTAGTAAACCTTATAAGTCTAACTCTTTTTTACCCAGTTGGTGCCAATGAGAAAAATACTGAATTTTCAGAATCACGAGCATTGGTGTGGAGAAAGCATAAAAGCTAGAAAGTACCCTTTGCTTCAGATGAAACTAGTCTGCAGAACCAATCCTGCTGAAAACAGGTGAAGGTGCCATTAAAAGGCAGCTGTTGCCCCCTCAATTACAGCGTGGAGCATTTGAGGTAATTGGTGTCCCAGCAAGTGAAGGTCAGGGCAGCTGGGGGCTAATCACAGACCTCAGTGGGCAGAGAAAGGTTTGAGATTTTAAGTTGACAACGTGTGCATTTATGGCCTTCACTAAAAACAGAAGCCCAAGTCATTGCTCACATAGCTGCCTTCACGCGCACAAACAAGACCTGACAGCCCACAGCCAGCCTTTATTCATGTCTTTATCTGAGATCCAGGAAATGTAACTGAGGCTGATAACAAACAGAATAGATTTCATAAATCTGTGGGTCTTAAATCTTATTCTTTTGTGCGTTTTGTTTGAGTTGTGCAACTACAAAGAAATTTGAGTCTATCAGGACATTTGTAGCCATTCAGTTTGTCCAATTTTGTTCAGACTCAAATACAACTTGATGACCCACTATTCCTCTGGGCGATCGTGGCTCAAGATTTGGGAGTTCGCCTTGTAATCGGAAGGTTGCCGGTTCGAGCCCCGGCTTGGACAGTCTCGATCATTGTGTCCTTGGGCAAGACACTTCACCCGTTGCCTACTGGTGGTGGTCAGAGGGCCCGGTGGCGCCAGTGTCCGGCAGCCTCGCCTCTGTCAGTGCGCCCTAGAGTGGCTGTGGCTACAATGTAGCTTACCATCACCAGTGTGTGAATGGGTGGATGACTGGATATGTAAAGCGCTATATAAATACAAGCCATTTACCATCTGTGCTGCCACAAGATATATGGTTGTGGTTTTGTTGAGTGAAATATTTTAATAATTATTATTTAAAATTTTGATTATATTTGACATGTGGTGACCTAAGAAATAAACTGGAGCTCCAATGATATAAAATCATGTAAATATAAAATCTTTAATGTGGTGCCAGTGCCCATTCTAGAACTGGTTTCATTGATTCCATACCATAATTACACTTTATGGACAAAGGTATTGGCCTCAAACTCTGAATTCGGGTGTATTTGGTGACACAGATATATAAACTCAATCACCTGGCCATGTTGCCTTTACAACATTTGTGAAAGGATGGGTTGTTTTAAAGACCCCACTGAATTTGAGTGTGGGACCTTAGGATGCCTCCGTTCCAACAAGTCAGTTTATGAAATTTATTCCCTCCCAGATATTCCCAGGTAAACTCTTGGTGGTGTTATTACAAATTGGAAGAATTTAAGAACCACAAAATTTAAAGTGGGGCCACCAAGTGCAGAGGGACATAGTGTGTGAAACCTTCTCTGGCATTAACTTTAACACAATAACTGTGTGCCAGGCATGGTTTTCCATGGCAGAGCAGTAATCTGTTGGTGGCTGAGTACTTTTATCCATTTTCTCACTGAATACTCAGTTCTCAAATTTTGAAATCTAGTCCAGTTCTCAAAAGCTGCAAAGGCAGAACTGGCTCCACACTTTTTTTTAAATTAAAAAAAAAAAGAAGCATTGAGCTCCACATCTCCATTTGGTCTCTATGGACCAAATTTACTCTGGTTCTTTGGTTATTTTACTAACAGCTGGGAAGTTTTTTGGGGTTTTGGAGTTAGTAATCACTGATATGATACATCAAAATTTCCAAAGACAGTTTATGAAGTTCATCATGTTTTATTGCAAGAGAAATTCTTAATAAACCCCCAAATTTTAGCAAGAGACAAAAATAACTTTCCTTCAGTTCAATGAGATCGATTAGAATTCATATTAATGATTCTGTCCATTAGCATAAAACTCTCTTTAAAAATCAAAATAAAATGTAAATAGTAAATGAAAGAGACGGCATGATGGCGTATTTCATCAGTTTTAGCCAATATAGAGTACAAGCATGAGCTGTGTGGAAACACAGTCAGCACAATGATCACTGTAGTTCAGTTTTCTTGGGTAACATAAAGCTCCTTTTAAGTCAAAATAGATACTTTTTTTTAGACTTTTTAGGGGTACACAGAAACCCTGTTTGCTATCAAAGACAACGTCAGAAACAGAAGCTGATAGTTCTGCTGATAATGGCACCATGGTCTGACTAAAGGTGAATAAATCCAGACCAAAAACAGGCCCAAGAAGGAAATGACTCTCCTGCTGTCTGTCAGAGCCTCTTCAAGCTGGTTATGATGCAGTGGGAGGGAATGCCCCTGAACGGAAGGCCGCTGTGTGTCATGGTTTCTACACACCCGATCAATCTATGTTCCCCAGCTTACATTTACAGTAAATGAGGAGAAATCCAGATGCAATTCACAAGACATTTATAGCAGGTCCTTATAGCTGCATGTTTATGAGGGAATATTTAACATGTCACTGTGTTCAGTGTGACTGTAAGAGAGCAGGAGATCCCTCAGAGCATTTATCCTGGAATTTGATGTCACTGTGAACCCCCAAGTGGACCAAGAAGATCCTCGCTTTGTAAATGAGGTTGTCAGAGACTAAGATGAGGGCAGAGGCGTTGCACCAACATGCAACTCCAACAAACCCCCACAGACTGCGAGATAAAGACAATAAAGGAGTCCAAAGGCAACAAGGCTGAATGTATAATCAGAGTATTAATGCAGATTTTGTTGAGCGCACCTACTAATGAGGCCACATTTGTGATGTTGTTGTGAAAGCCAAGCAAATTTTAGCCAAAATGTGAGAACTGTTCATCCAAACAAATTAAATTTGACAGAGTCTTTCCTCAGGTTTCTAGTGATACACCTGATAAATGAAAAATGGAGTGGATGAATAGTTTTCAGAAAGAAAAGCAAAGAACATGCATCCATTTCCTCTTCTTCATCTGAAGCTGACTCATGGTGGCAGCAGGTTCTGACTCTTTGGGCTGATACCCAGTCAAACATGCTGGATAAGAGACTTAAAAGGTAAAAACTGTGACTCTTTGTCCGCCAGTACGATGCTCAGTGTGTGTTCTGACCTCTTAATAGAGGAACTAGAGTTCGTCTTCAGGGCTCAATAAAGCTTTATTTGAATATGACACACATACACACATGTATGCTGAGGCCAGTGGAGAAAACAAAGAGTTCAGAGGGCTGTGAACTGATGAGCGACCCTGATGTGTCTGCAGTTGCTGATTATCACTTCATATGGATAAATGTGTTTGTGTGTGTGCATGTGTGTGTGTGTTCTCCTGTGGGACCAAAACTGGAGCAAACAGAGCGGCGTCTTCCTGCTCGCGGCGTCTTCCTGCTCGCGGCTTCTTTCTTAGGTGAGGAAGGCGGTGGTCCGGACACTTTGCAGATAATTGGATTAACAGCGAGGAGCAGAAAAGGTGACGGAGTTTATTCCGCTCAGTGAGCCCACCTGGAAAAAGAGGCAACAAATCTTATTCTGACAAATCAGTGTCGTGGAGAACAAGGAACCAAATGCAAAAACCTGCACTGCACTTCATTTCCCCATGTGGCTTTTTTAAAGCTTAAGTGTCAAAAGCCAAATGTTTGGAGCTTCAGTGGAGTTTCACTGTGATCATTTTAAGACATGATAAAGACCTCAGTTGGAGTTAGGAAACAGCAGCGCTTCTTTTTATTGTTATTATAATATTATAATTGCATATTCAATGAATTTCATGAATTTTTCATGTAATGAATTTGTTGTAGTTGAAGTGTTTTACATATGTGAATAAATATGCTGACATTATCTTTCTGTTGTTGTTTTAAAAAAATGTAAATCAGTCCTGTGGTTTGCGTTTGAGATGAGCCTCGTTTTTAAACTTTGGTGATTTAAGGTTCTGCTGTGGTATTTTGGCTTTAGCTTTAAATCTTATAAAGTATATGTATTAAAGTATGGCTTCACTTGAAATTAGACTTTGTGAAGTGCATTTAAACTGTGGTTAGTTCACTTACAGTTGGTTATGTTGGTGCCTTTGAGTGCTGATTGGTTTGCATGCCTCACAGGCATTTACTTTTTGCTGTAGTGTACTGCATGCAGTATACAGATACTACTATGTCCATCTTGCTCTACTGGTGCAGACACTCTTATTTTGAAAGTTTAAGTGCTCCTAACTGATACTTACCCATTTCCCCCCCATTTAAGGTCCCAGGTAAGGTCCTGGCTCCTTCAAAGTAAAAATTTAGTCACGATAATCCTGAAAACAGAAATGAGCGTTCTTCTCAGACAGGGAGACGACAGTAAAGCCTCGTCTCCTGACCAAGATGCCTCCGAGGTGAGGTATTTTCGGCATTTCCAACTGAGAGGAGGCTGCGGGATGGAACCAGGACAAGATGGAGAGATTATTCCTCTCAGCTGGTTTGGGAATGCCTCGTTGTTAGAGAGAGGTGTGGGTCTCTCTGCTGAGACTGCTCCTCCCATGACCCTGACATGGACAAGCAGCAGATAATGGATGGATGGATGGAGTGAACTTTAATCATGCAAATATAGCTCTTAATCTTGACTAAAGGAACTGTTCATATATAAACGTATGTTTTTCATGCAATCACAGAGGATTTTATCACAGCAGCGTAATGTGAGTGTTTAACAGTCTAACTTTCAAAACAAATCAGTGGGTTTTGCAATGAAATGGAAAATGCACTAATAGTTCACATTTACATGGTCTACATCACAAGGAAATGAAAAGGACAGTGTCACTGTGAATTATGGGATGGAATTATGTCCTTTCTTTTCAGAGAAGCTCCAGTGTTTTCTCTGCTAAGGGAGATAATAAAGGAAACATTGAAGCCACCTCAGTCAGCTTCCTAAGCAAAACTAGTCCTTCAACCCTAAGATTCAAGATGAGGCTGAGAGATGTGATCATGTGACCTGATGGACATGCCCACTACTTTGTGGTTTTGTGTGTGTATGTGTGTGCGCATGTGTGTTAGTCCTTTGGGACCTCCTTTTGGGAAGTGGGTCAACCGCTTGGCAAGGCATGCCGGCTCGTTAGCATTGAATGTAAACACACACACACACACACACACACACACACACACACACACACACACACACACACACACACACACACACACAGAGCCCCTCTGGCTGTAATTGGCAACAATGAAAATTACACACAGGCTAATTAGCAGCTCCTTGACACAGGCAGGAAGCTCGGTGTGTATGGATGGACGCACACTCATCACTAACTGCAGCATAGTTTAGAGACAACAAGGATTTACAGACACTCAGCAACACCTGCTGACAGCGAGGAGGTCCAAACACCTAAAATCAAATTCATCCTGAGCCAGAAAACGAGCTGATTTTATTTAACTTTGATTAAATGTGTCACCAAGTCACATCACTCATAGATTCATTCATTTTAATACATGTCTGTGTGGTTTACTTAAAATGTACACTAGGATGTGCACATGTTTGAGTGTCCCCCGTGTGCCCTCTGAAATCTACACATATGCATATCGGTGTTTTCGTGTTTCAGGAGGAGTTTAAGGAAGTCTGAAAAACAGCTTCATGTCATCAGACGTGTGAAGTGTACTTTCAGCATCTTTATGAAACACAACTGTTATATCTGTTCTAGTTATAACCAAATGAGCTAACGAGGTCTTCCTCCAGTTTATCTGCAGTGTTAGAGCACCCTCCAGTGGCTACTGACAGCTCAAAAGGTTTTGAATGAATTCTGATAAAACTTTGGAGATTGGGGTGGTGTTAACAATCCATTAAAATTTGGTTTACATCCACTGAGGTCTTCAAGGTCAGCTTAGTGAGTTATTGTTTGAGAATTGACAAAAAAGCCTCATAACTCAGAACCTGTGATTCTTACAAGTGTGGTGTGAAATGTCACCATATAGAAAGTCCCATAGAAAGATTTACAATATCATGCAACATTTGACCTCTGACCTCTTTTTCAAGGTCAATGATTGAGCTGAAGGTCAAAGTAATAATCATCCTAATAATAATAATAATAATCCTATATACAACTATTTAAAACAGTTTTTGCAGTTCTTACTGCAGGCTTGTAACAACATTAAAGTATATAGGGAATCATATATGCAGATTCTAAATATCATGTCATTTTTTACCTCTGCCCTCACTTTTGTTCTTTTGACATTTGTTCTGATCTTATTCAGCTTTACGGATGAAAACCACACAGCGATATTAAAAGTAATGTATTTATTAGAAATTATAACCACCTTGATAGTCCTTTTCATAATCAAAGTCTTCCTCTTCATGGAAACATATAATCCAACCTTGTCATTTATGTTTCCACATCCATTATTCATAATATCCAGTCATCACATTTCCAGTAAAGAGCAGACTCCTGATCGTTTTTATTGTTCTAAGTCGCTGAGTTCTCTTATTATCAGAACTTTCACTTCTTTAGGAGTCTTATCATTACTTTGCAGTTCCTCGGTCATGGTGCTTATATCTTGTTTTGTTTTTCAGGCTACGTGCCTGTTTTGCAATTTCAGCAGTTTTTTTCATTAAATGTTCATTGGAAATATACACCAGTCCTCTTTAGCTTCTTCAAAATGGGCTTTGTTTTACTATCTATACAGAGCATGTGACATGTTGTGATATGATGTCTCTGAATACTCACATTCTTCATTTGGAGAAATTTATCACTTGCTGTTCAAGTGTTTGCAGCTCCTCTGCTGGGGCATCTTCACCGTCTCTACCTCTGCCAGCTGTTGATCTGGTGTAGGTTCAGTGTTACATCTCTAGTCCACTTATGATTAAATACTCATTCTTGTGTATTGTTCAAGGCCCTCGATTCGCTGTTCCAAGCAGTCTATTTTCTTGTCCTTCTCCTTTATCAGGTTTTTTTAGTTGTTTAATCTCATTTATTAGGACATGTAGCATACCTTGCTGTTTAGCCACTTTGCTCAGTTCGTCCAAAATGAAATTTGACGATTTCCTGATCTCCTCCGACTCCTCTTCAACTCATGAGTTTGCGTTTTTGGTGGCATTTTCAGATCAGTGAGATTGCTATTACCTTCATTAGCGCTGCAATAAAATATCAGTGCATGGGCTCAGGAACACTTCCAGAAACAGCATCTGTGAGTTGTTTTAAGAAACAACTAAAAACTCATCATCTTAGACTTACTTTTGCTAAGTCTTTTTTTAGTGCTCTGTTTTTTAAATTTTATTGTGAAGCACTTCGTTATCCTTGTCTTGAAAGGTGCCATATAAATAAAATGTTGCTTACTCCTGAGCTACGACCGCCATCCATGTGGAAGTAAGCTGGAGGCTGCGCACCCAATCAGACATCAGGCTGAAGCCTGACTGCTCACTAAACTTGTGAATGTCTGAGTATTTTCTAAATTCTTCTTCTGTGCATCTCAAACAGGTGAAGATTCTTATCAAATGCCACACAGACTCACAGAGGCCCCAAACAAGACTCTGAATCCAGGATAAAGCAGTTCAGTGAATGTTGTGCTGAAAGTGTGGAGGTGGATCAGAGTTTCAGAGGAGACTCTGTAGAAGGACAGAGTGCCAGAAGGACAGTCCACATACACTGCTACTCTGTTAGAGACAGAGGAGGAGGAGGAGGAGATGGATGTTTGTCTGTTGTTGTGCCTGACAGAATGAGGACCATCATCTGTACAATACAAACTCCAGGACTGATCATTCCATCCAAACAAACAATGTTTAGCATTTTCTTTCCTTCTGATTCTTCTGTAACTCACTGATATATAAACGTTTCCTCTCCACTCGACCTCCCAGTAACAGCGACCAGTCAGACCATCTCTACACAATAGTTGAGGATGGAAGTCAAATCTGTCTGGATGATCAGGATATGACTGATCTTCCTCCACACGTGCCACCTTCCTGTTGTTGTCAGACAGTTTCAGTTTTGTGTTCACTGTGTTTGTGTCGAATGTGAGTTGACAGGAATCTGATGGAGAGAACAAACACAATCCAGCTGCAGTTATTGATCCATCATCTGTTCATTGATTGACACTTGGATAATGACTCTTGACATCAGAGATGTGAATGAGTGATGTGACAGTTTGAAGATGGTTGAATGTTTTCATGAATCACATTAAAAACACACTTACACTTCCTCAGACCTGGTCTCAACCATCGGACTCCAGCAGGCTCCACCCTGAAAGGAGGAGGGGGTCAGACCAGCACAGTCTCTTTCAGCATGCACACATGGACATTACATCGCTCTCATACACATGCTGTTAGACACTGATGAAGTCTGTATGACAGAAAGTGAAAGCTTACATTGAAAGCTCAGGACACTGGATGAGAGACCCTGAGTTAGATCAGTCTCTGGAAAGATAATTAAAGCCTCATTATACTGACTAATACCAAATTTAAAAAGTTCCTGATCAAAACCTCCAAAAGTTTATTTTGTTCATCTGGATGTAGCGTTTTCAGTGGGAGAAACGTTTCAACATTTTCAAACCCCAAAACACGCTGCACCAAAAATATGCAAATTATATGTTGCATGGTTGGATGTTAAGAAGAAAAATTTTTTTGATCATGCAATTTATTGAAAACAACACTTCCTGCATATTTCAGAGTGGCCTTTTATTGTGGGCAGTCTAAGGCACACCTGTGCAATATTCATGCTTTCTAATCAGCACCTTGACATGCCACACCTGTGAGGTGTGATGGATTATCTCGGCAAATGAGAAGTTCTCACTAACACAGATTTAGACAGATTTGTGAACAATATTTGATAGTAATGGGTCCTTTGTGTATGTAGAAAATGTTTCAGATCTTTAAGTTCAGCTCATGAAAAATGGGAGCAAAAATAAAAGTGTTGCGTTTATATTTTTGTTTAGTGTATGTTGTGTAATAAGATTATCATTTGGTTGCCTTAAGTTTAGTTATGTTTCACGTATGTCTTCCTTATTAGTCTGTCATGTTTCTTGTCTTCTTGTCCATGTTGTCATGTCTGCGTTCCATGCCGTTTCCTGTTTTATTGTGTTTTGCTTCCCCTTGTCTTGTTAGGTCTGATTTGTTCCAGCTGTGTTCCCCCCTATTCCCATCCCCCCATTATCTGATTGCGTACTAGCCTTCTGTCTTCCTTTGTTCAGTGTCAGGCCATCTTTTGTCTTTTGCGCCATATTTCTATGTTCCAGGTATCTTTGTATCCATGCCAAGTTTCATGTTTTTTTTCATGTTTTTGTTTTTTATGTTTATCTTTAGTTTCCTCGGTTTAGGTTATTGTTTATTCTTGTCTTTGTTTGCCTTATATATTACTTTCTTCATTTCTTCATCAGCCACATTAAACGGCTCGCTTTTTGTTAATACTCAAATTTTGGTTCCACGTTCCTCTGTGTCTGCATTTTGGGTCCACTCTTCATAAATTCAAACAGTCTGCTTCGGCTCACTGTGACAAATGAATTATAAATATTATATCGATATTGGTCTACTTAATCATAAAGTAATAGAAAAAAAATATTGCCAGTATAAAAAAAAGCTACACAGAGAACTTTCAATCCTTGTTTGTGCAAAACAATCAAATAAAAATCCTAATGTGATATTAAATAAACCACTCTAGCCTCAAGCACAGCAGTGTGTGGTACTAAAAGTAAAAAAACAAAACAAACAAACCAGTGTTCATTTATTTAACATTCACACAAATGTAAGACTTGTTTTTCTTTTATATGGCTTGGAGCAAAATTTATATATAAAAAAAAAAAAAGCTCCTTGATGAGTGAAGAAATTTCTCCTATTTCCTCGAGTGTCTCTTTCTCCATTGCCAGGCACTTTGGCTGCCAAAGGCCACTTCATACCTGAGTATGTCCAGTTGGAGCTGCTTCAGCAGCTTCACCCCTGCCTCTCCTGGATCATTGTAGCTCAGGTCGAGCTCTCTCAGGGTGGAATGGTTGGAGTTCAGCACTGAGATAAGAACAGTACAACCTTCTTCTGTGATCAAGCAGCCTGACAATCTGCAGACAGCACATGTGACAGATACTATAAGAGAACAGTGACGCAGTCAAATAGCGAGAAACAATACCTCCATTTAACAAATATGTGATCGATTGAAGCGCAGAGTTAGCTTTAACAGAGATATTTTGAGCTAAAAGTTTATTTGTTCAATTAATGAAACTATTAAAGTAAGAATTAGGACAAGCCCTACACAAAGTAGAACTGATGCTCATATGAGTGTCATTAGTTTTGTAGGGATTTAAGCACTACTTAAAAAGTTGACCAGATAATTACTCTCAATGAAAAAGCCTGGTGTGAATTACTAGTTGATTCTGAGGAAAATGTGAACATCTGTAATAAATTACATCAAATTACAAACAACAAATCAACGCTACACAGTCTGTGTGAAAAGAAATCCTGTTATTAGATAAAGTTTTAATAATATAGCAGAATATAGCAGAATAAATCAACAATAGTCCTGGTTAGCCATGGTTAGCCACATAGGTTAGCATTGAATATGATTTAAATGGACTTTATATGAAAAGTTTGAAGAATCCTGACCTGAATATTTCCAGTTTACAGTATGGACTCTCTAGTCCACCACACAGTGTTTTCACTCCCGAGTCCTTCAGGTCATTATTATTCAGGTCCAGCTCTCTCAGACTAGAGGAGTGGGAGCTGAGAACTGAGGATAGAGTGTCACAGATTCTGTCCGAGAGGTTACAACCACTTAGTCTGTTGAGACAACAAGAGGTAAAAAAACCCAAACAAACACACAAACCAAAATAAACAAACAAACAAACAAAAAAACGTTAAAATGTGCAGTCTATACTGATTATTAACTGTGCACATGCTAAATCCTTGCTGGTCTATTCCAAATATCCTTAAGACATTTTATTATTTATACACTTTGTGCATTATTTGTACAAAATAAAATTTATATTTTTTAACATCCGACTAAATCACAGTGACGTATTTATGGTCATTTTATACTTTATACTTCATTTTTATTACAATAATATTAGCCCTCTGGGGTCCAGGGTATAACTGGCCGTTTTTGACTACTTTTGATTTTACCTCTATATTTCACCTTTACAAACTGTTTATCTTGCCTTATTTTGTATCATTATTTTCAGCACAACCTCAAATATTTGAAATTTGAGTTATTTTTTCATTTTGGCATACTATATTAGCACAATTGATCTAAATTCAGATAAAAAAATTTATCTGAGTAGAAAAAAGTTATATTTTTTACTGTAAAACCCACAAACATGTTTAACGAATCATTTTCATAACTTGAAATGCAAATAGAAATTGTACATTTCTAAAAAATATGCACAAGTTTTGCAAACAACAAAGTTATATGGTACTTTTTACCTAAAAATGCAGCCAAGGCCTCAGGCGTTTTTTATATAACCATTTAAATCTATTTACAGAACAATCATGTGTGCTGCATCAGATGAGAAGGCACACAAATTATTTGTGCGAGTCCAAAAAACTAGTTTGTGTTCAGTATAAAAGAGGAGAACACCAAAGGCCTAAACCCTGCAGGTCTGACAGCAGGAGGTGTATCAGTCCTGTTTTCCATGTGGGAACAGCGTTTACACTGGAATCTGCCTTTGATGGCTTTTTTGGAGCAAATGTGACATTCAGCAGTATAACTGACACACAATACAAAGCAATAACTACACAACACACTAACTCTAGCCTCCAAACACGCTAAACGTCACTAATGTCTCACATATGAAAACTCGCTCTCTCTCTTTCTTTTGCTCGCCCGCTTTCCGTCGCGGGTGTCACTCCTAAAACTTCCCCTTCTCCCTAAACAACCAAGTGCTGCATGGTAAACTCTAACACCAATAGGGAAGGGGTGTTTTTTCCTTTTTTTCACTCGCAAGTGGCGAGTGTTTGCTAGCGCTGTCTGTAGAAAACACAGTTTTTACCGTTCTTCCCGCTGTAAACACCACTGTTTTGTTCAGAAAAAACATTGCGTGTATTTTTTATCATAACCCTGGCTTTACGTGGCCCATTGACACAATTCAAAAACTGGTATATCGTTTGAAGTCCGTACTCTCGACCCAAATTGAAATGGAGACTGAGTCGCAGCATCTTGTAGCTGTGTCGTCTTAAATTGGTCATGTGATTTTGATGCGCCGGTGCGTCCGTCGACTCCAGAGGGTGAATACAATAATAATCAATTGATTGTAATTTAATTGCAATAAATTGTTTTACCTGTATAACAAAGTTAAAGTCTAAAGTTGAGAACTGAAATACAAATTATTTGCATGCACTAAGGCTGGGCGATTGGAGGAATATATCGACTATTGACAAAAAAAGCTCAATCGTTTTTACAAGGGTGATTTATTTATTTATTTGTTAATAATGTTGGCTGAAGCTAACAGAAGCAGTCAACAGAAACAAATAATAGCGCTGTTTTAACGTCACCCTCCTTCAGCTGTGAGCAAATGCACCCTCCTTAGAGTGCTGGAGCGATTTACTCAAATAAGAGAAAGAAAGAACAGCAGTAGCCTATGTTAAAAAAAAACAAAAGCATTTTATCAAATAAAAAAACCCACTATGGTGGGGAAGGAAACAAAGAGAAACTGGCTTATTTTTTCCACTATAACCGTGTTTACAGGCATTTCCAGTGTTTATCTGTTTTACACACTCGACCAAACAACTCTTCACTGAGGTAACAGTCTATTTCTATCTGTGCCTTCTCCTCCAGTGTGCAATTTGGCAATTACTTTGTCCATGTTTGGACTTCATCTGTGTTCTAAACGCGCAAATCAATATGTGCATCATTACATTGCTCTGCCCATCAAAAAGTCTGTGCATACGTGAATATATCACCTGCATCGGTTGGAAGTTTTTTTTACATATCGCCCAACCTAAGCATGTTCTTTGGAAATAGCGGTTCAAAGTAATGCAGTCCACTTTCAATCCTCCTTGTCCATATCATTAAAAGCAGCCAAATATAGTAATAAAACATTAGCAGCTTAGTCATTTGTAAAGTAGTAAACCAGTACAAAAAAAACAAAAAACAAAAAAAACAAACCCCTCCCAAAACACTTGGCATGGCTTGTTAGCCAGAGGTGGTGGGGAACATATGAATCCTCAAAACATACCCTCTGCTTATTCGGTTCGCATTTATATTCATAAGCATATGGACAAATAGGCTGCGTGAGACTACGAAGCTACAGATTCACAAACCCTTCACTTATTTCTTGTTCACGTTCAAGTAGAATTCCTATAATGAGCTAAATGAAAAAGGCTACTTTATGTGTGACTGTAAGAAAAACTTTCAAAATCATCTTCCTCTATCAGACACTGTGGCTGCAAACAGCCTCTGCACACCTGAGTGTGTCCAGTCGGAGCTGCTTCAGCATCTTCACCCCTGCCTCTCCTGGATTATTGTAGCTCAGGTCGAGCTCTCTCAGGTGGTAATGGTTGGAGTTCAGTGCTGATGTCAGAGCATTACAACCTTCTTCTGTGACTGAGCAACTTGACAATCTGCAGACAGCATACATGACAGAAACTATTAAACAATTAGAAAAAATTTAACTGGTGCTCACGTGGTAAATGGTAAATGTACTGGTTCTTAGATAGCACTTGTCTACTCTACCTGAACTGTCAAAGTGCTTCATGAGTGTCATTTCTTTAAATAAAGAGAAAAAAAAGATCCTAAACAGACCACATGAAAAGAAAGTAGTGAGAAAGTCCTGATAATTTAATATGTAATATCTAGGATCTCAACTAGAACAATTTTACACATATCATGAAAAATTTGAAGAATCGTAACCTAAGTTTTTCCAGTTTAGAGTGTGGACCCTCAAGTCCCCCAGACAATACTTTCACTCCGGAGTCTTTCAGGTTGTTGTTACTCAGGTCCAGCTCTCTCAGACAAGAGGAACGGGAGCTGAGTAGTGAGGATAGAGTTTCACAGATTCTGTCTGAGAGGTTACATCCACCAAGTCTGAGGAGACAACAATGGACAAGAAAATAATAATATGTGACTGCACAGCATGAACTTTTGATTATACATGGACTATATAAATCATCAACTTAACACATGCTAAATCGTTACCAGTTTACCCTAAGAAACCCGATGACACAATGAGCTTATACATTAAGTGCAGCTTCTAATTGGCACATAAATCTTACATCAAACTAGACAGCACACAACTGTGCTAAACAGAATAACAAAAACAGTGTGTTTAAATCATGAAAACTTTATGACTTACAGCGCTATGCTGGAGCATTTAATCACTGGCAGGAGCCTTAGGAAAGCCTTCTCTGAAGCAGAGTATTTCTTCAGGTCAAACACAAACAGATCTTTTTCTGATGATAATAAGATAAAGACCAGAGCTGACCACTGAGCAGGAGACAGTTTATCAGCAGCGAGACTTCCTGATCTCAGGGACTGTTGGATCTCCTCCAATATAGAATGTTCATTTAGTTCATTAAGACAGTGAAACAGGTTGATGCTTTTCTCTGCAGATAGATTTCCACTGAGCCTCTCCTTTATGTGTTGAACTGTTTCCAGATTGGTCTGTGAGCTACATCCTGTCTGTTCTAGCAGCCCATGTAAAAGACTTTGATTGGTCTGAAGTGAAAGACCCAGGAGGAAGCGGAGGAACAAGTCCAGTTGTCCGTTTGAACTCTGTAAAGCCTTATTCACAGCACCCTTGTAAAAGCAAGTGTCTGCAGATTCTTCTTCTTGCAAATTCTGGGTGGTTTCCTGTTGCTTTTCCAGTAAATTCACTCCAGAGTTGATGAAAGTCAGATGGACATGAAGAGCAGCCAGAAACTCCTGAACACTCAGATGGATGAAGCAGAACACCTTGTCCTTGTACAGTCCTCTCTCCTCTTTAAAGATCTGTGTGAACACTCCTGAGTACACTGAGGCGGCGCTGATATCGATGCCACAGTCTGTCAGGTCTGATTCATAGAAGATCAGGTTGTCTCCTTGCAGCTGCTCAAAAGCCAGTTTTCCCAGAGACTCAACCATCTGTTTGCTCTCTGGACTCCAGGGTGGATCTGTCTCCATTCCTCCATCATACTTGACCTTCTTCACTTTTGCTTGAACCACCAAGAAGTGGATGTACATCTCAGTCAGGGTTGTAGGTAGTGCTGTCCTTGTTTCCTCTTTTCTCTTCTTCCCCACATCCTCCAGAACTGTAGCAGCGATCCAGCAGAAGACTGGGATGTGACACATGATGTGAAGGCTTTGTGATGTCTTGATGTGGGAGATGATCCTGCTGGCTTGCTCCTCATCTCTGAATCTCTTCCTGAAGTACTCCTCCTTCTGTGGGTCAGTGAACCCCCTCACCTCTGTTACCATGTCAATATACCCAGGTGGGATTTGATTGGCTGCTGCAGGTCGTGTGGTTATCCAGAGGTGAGCAGAGGGAAGCAGGTTCCCTCTGATGAGGTTAGTTAGCAGCACATCTACTGAGGTGGACTTAGTGGGGTCTGTCAGGATTTTAGTTTTGTGGAAGTCCAGAGGAAGTCGACACTCATCGAGGCCATCAAAAATTAAGACAACCTGGAAGTCTTCAAAGCTGCAGATTCCTACTTCTTTAGTTTTGGTAAAGAAGTGATGAACAAGTTCCAGCAGGCTAAAGTTTTTCTCTTTCAGCACATTCAGCTCTCTGAAAGTGAATGGAAATATGAACTTGATGTCCTGGTTAGTTTTGCTTTCAGCCCAATCTAGAGTGAACTTCTGTGTTAGGACTGTTTTCCCAATGCCAGCCACTCCCTTTGTCAGCACTGTTCTGATTGGTTCATCTCTTCCAGGTGAGGCTTTAAAGATGTCTTCTTGTCTGATTGTTGTTTCTGGTCCATCTGGTTTTCGTCTCCTGGATGTTGTTTCAATCTGTCTGACCTCATGCTCATCATTGACTTCTGCAGTCCCTTCTGTGATGTACAGCTCTGTGTAGATCTGATTCAGAATGGTTGGATTTCCTGCTTTAGCGATCCCCTCAAACAGACACTGGAACTTCTTCTTCAGTTGAGATTTAAGATTATGTTGACAAACTGGAGCAAATCTGCCTGAAAACAGACAATATGTTACCTGATTAAGTTATATATTAAATATCCCACCATTTAATTCTTCTAAAGAATGAGTGTTTACATATGTGCTGGTGTAATCCTTCAGACATTAGTAAATGTCTTAGTATAACCAGCAGCTTCTATGTTTAGAAAAATCCTCTTACTGCTCAGCAGACGGTCAGCCAGCTCATACTGCTTCATTCCTCTCAGAAACTGCAGTGTGATCTTTATAAATGCCTCTCTGTTGGTACGCCTTTGCTCTTCATCCTCACACTCCAAAATCTCCTTATCCTCCGTCTGGCAGTTTAAGCATTCTGAATAATCTGGATACAGAACTGTCTGGATCTTCTTTAACTCATTCTTCACAAAAGTGATGATTTTCTCCTCCAGGAGCTGGAACAGAAATTTATATGAATGACTCAATAACTCTGAAATCATAGATACAAACATCAGAACCATGTTGAAAACAATTACAATCCAGCTGGAATTAAAATCTGTTTTATTTATACATCATTCCAGGGCTTCGTGTGGTGTCAGTTTGCTGTTTTTAGATCCCCTTTAAAAGCTGAATAAATTAACTTTAGACCTTGGTGATGGAGGAAAATGTCTCAGGGAATGTTAAGATTCCTGCTGAGCACTGCAGATCTGCATACACCATTTCTTTTGTTTTGCACTCAATGCTGCATTCATGTGGGCATTCACACCCATCAATCTGGGAAGAGTTTTAAAGCAAGTTGAAAACAATTTGAAGGCCATCATCCTAAAGATTATTCACAAGTGGAAAATAATAAGTCAGTTGCTAGTCTTCCAAGGTGTGGATGTCGCGGCAAACCTGGTTAGACTGTACAATTCTCAAAGAAACAGCAAAAAAAACACAAGAGCTAAAGAGTTGAAGTTTATGACAGTACATTTAGAAAAAGGAGAAACAAATATTGCAAGTTTAGAAGGTTTGTCAGGAGAAAGCTCTCCTTTCTGAGAAGAAAACAGCACAGCTTAGGTTTGTAAAGCTGCATCCAAACAAACCACAAGACTCTGAATGGATGACACCAAAGTGGAGACCTTTGGTCATACCACACAATTTTGTGAAAAAACACAGGATCAGCACTAAGGAGCCGAACCCCAACCCTGAAAAACAAACAAATCCCATAATCAAACCTCCACTAAACTTTACATTTGGCACAGTGCAGTCAGACTTTCATTTCCAGTTGCTTCCACTTTATTATAATACAACTTTCTGTAACGATTTAAAAGTATTTTTTAAATAAAACTAACAAGTGGTTTAGAAATATTAGAGCTTGAAATACAATGTAAATACCATACAGTTATATTTTTGCTGCTGCACCATCTGAATTTTGAAGCTATTTTCAAAAATAGTCACGCTTTTTGCTTCTGTGTTTGGTTGTAAGAACATGCATACAATTTTTAAGAAATGACTGTGAACAGATGTAAAGTACTGTTTGTATATTTACAGACCATAAATATGGAGTCCAGGTGTGCTTGATGCTGCTGGGGAGGCTGATCACTGGGAACCTCTGAGGTATTCTTGTTCTCTCTGTAGAGATGAATAAATAAGAGAGAAAAAAAGACTTCTCAGAAAAACTATTTTACAATCCCACCTTCCTAATTAAGAGGAAAGGAAAACCATGTAATCATGTTTTACCAGTGTTAGAATTTTTTACAGTGATGATTTGAATTGTTGAATGATTTGTTTTAGCTTGATTACCAGCAGCTAAGACAGATGTTCATATAAGATAGAATCACGGCACTGATGGACTTCTTTGAGACATTAATAATTGATTTGTGGCTACTAGGTGCAAAATAGTCTCTTGGACTTTACCTAAGCCATCAAGAAAGAAACCTATAAGTGATTTGTGGCTTAGATTTTAACTTCATAGGCTTCTAAAACAAAGGCTGCCAGTAAAATGGCAAAAGCCCCATAGCCCTTTGTTCGGTGGCTAAATGGTGGGGAAATTAGGAGCAGCTGGTTAAAATAAAAAAGAGTCTCTATTGACATCCAATTCTTAATAGCAGTAAAGGCTGCCTCCACTTAGCAAGACCTGATGCCACTCGACTGGTTGTTACCAACATTGTTTTCTGAGCCAAAGTACAAAGTTTACACCTGCTGGAACAGCTTTCTGACAGAAAAGCCTCTTACATCAGTGGTTAGGTTTTTGAAAGTTTACTGAAAAAATAAAAATATATACAGATATAGATTACCTTTCCACAGCAGAGTTTTGTCCTTTAAAATTAGCACCAATACTCTTTGACCAGTCACTCTTTAAGGACACACAGCTGGGTTCAGGTCCAGGTTGGTTCCTGTGAATAATGATGGAGCAGTGATGTGAGTGCTGAGCTGTGTGAGAATAGATTATCGTATTATCGCAGTAGTTGGGATTTAGTTGTTGAACCATGGTAAAGCATTATATTCATTATTCATTTAAGTAGGTCATAGGTCAAGTTACTAAACATTCACACATCGAGCACACACATAGAATTGGAAGAATAGGTCAGAGATGTATGTGAGAAGCAGGAGGGACAGAAAGCTGCCGTTAGTGGGATAAGGAGTTGGTAAGCCAAACCCAGGAGAATATAGTGTGCGAAGAAGTGGGCAGCAAGGACACAAGATAGGGAGGCAGGAGACAGAGAGGGATCACAAGGTTGTTGATGTCTGTGTATAAATGTGTGCTGCTGGGACGGCCCCAGCGGATTTTGATATTGGATGCTGAGCTGTGAAAATCCCCACGTACATGTAATAAAATTAATTGATTGTTTATGTTGAGAAAAGACAGGAATGGAATATTACACTGTTTCATGATACCTTATATTGAGGATTTATAAAGAAATACTGTTTGCATAGAATCACGGCCCGCTTTGTCTGATTAGGGAGAACAAAACATGCTGAAAGCCAAGGTCATAACTGAAGTTCACTAAGGCTACGTCCACGCTAGCATGGAGATATTCGAAAACGGCGTTTTCATACGAAAATGCTCCGTGTCCACACTAGCGTTTTCAGTCATTTTGACAGAGTTGCCCGTCCACATTGAAACGGCCGAAAACGCTTATGTTCCAGTACTGCGCATGTGTGAGACGCAAGAAGATTTGACCTGCCTCATTTCTGTCTGCCGCTGATTTACTTTCCAACTCATAGAAACGCCGTGGCAAAATATTGAGGAGAAGCACAGAGTTTTTTAAATGGACTAACAATGAGGTAGAGTTGTTGCTGCGAATAACACAAAAATACAAAGTTTCAAAAACGAGTTAGAATTAAAGAATTTGAAGAAAAGCTATCTGGAGCATGTGCAGACTGATATTAATCTTTAATAGGACTGTCAAAATTCAGCACAAACAAAACAACTGCTGTATAATGCCCTCTGCTCTCTTAACTTAATTGGTCACATGACTGCATCACATGACTAACATGCGTCATCTTTTTAGAAAGTCTGCATTTTCAATGTCCACACTGTGATGCGAAAGCATAATTTTGAAATGTATGCGTTTCCGAGAGCCTTTTTGAAAATGCTGCGCTTTCCATCAGCAAAAACTGTCATGAAGCGCTGTGTGGCAGGCAGGAGATGTGGACCCAAAATGCAGGCGTTCAGACTCAAGGTGTCAACTCAAAGTCACAGCTTTATTGGCTGGCAGGGAAAAAAAAAATACAAACTAAACTAGGAAACACCAACCTAAAACTCCCAGTGAGACACAGGGAGATCCACACAGCATGAGGGACAACGCGACACTGACTCAGAGAAACAGGGTTTAAATACACTGGGAAGTAACGAGGGGAATGAGACACAGAAGGAGAGCACAGCTGGGGGAAATAAGAACTGACGAGACAAGGAAGCGTAAACTGAACACATTCACATAAGACACGGACCTTCAACGTAAAACAGGAAGTATGACACAGAGATGCGAACTAGACTAGGGGAGACAGAGCAACTAAGAAACACAGACAACACCAACAACAAAGAGACACAGAGGGCAGCTACTAAATACTCAGAGAACTAAACAGAATACAAGAAAACGAAACTAAGACACTACATTAAAGAATAAGCTGGGACAACAAAGAGAACTAAGAACATAATACAAAAAACTCAGAGGCGCAAGAAACTCAAAACACTGGGTCACTGACCCAGGACCGTGACAAAAATGCCGTCTCAATATGGACAGGAGGCCAAAACGGAGAGAAAATGATGGACATAGCCTGAGAGGGAGAGAAAGAATGTGAATGTTTAGGTTTTATGATTCGGGTGGGGGTCGAGGCTATAAGAGTGTGTGTAACTGTCAGACACTTCAAGATCTGCAGGACCCCCTCCTCTGCACATCTCCCGTCCAGATGATTGTATTGCTCAAAGAGTTTGTATGGAATAAAGAGAATTGTATTGATTAAAGAGATTGTTGAGTGGGCATTAAAACACCGAGTGTTGTTCTTCCTTCAGCCCGAAGATCAAAGAATTGTTTTTTTAACAGTGTTTGAAAGTTTACTGAAAAAATAAAAATATATACAGATATAGATTACCTTTCCACAGCAGAGTTTTGTCCTTTAAAATTAGCACCAATACTCTTT